GGATAGGCGTAACATTGGCAGATTTCCATTCCGAAGGGATCTGACCGGTGTGCAGCGAATGATTGAATAGTTCACAAATGCTGGGTGCAATTTGGATGCTGCATTCTTGCAGAAGACGAGTTGGAATGCCGTCGGGGCCACACGCTTTGGATGTGTCAAGATTGTACAAACTTCGCGCGACTTCTTCCGCATTGAGTGTTATATTGGAAAGCTCCTCAATTTCTAATGGTTGAAGCAGATCACAGATACCTGATTTTGAACCTGTGGAAGGTGAACGAAATACGGAAGAGAGGTACGCGTTGAAAAGTGTAGCTTTATCTTTTGCAGATTTAGAAGTAACTCCGTCGAACGTTATTTCGTGATGCAGATTTGCTCGGTGGCGTAGGATAGCTTTATGGTAGCTCCAGAACAGCTTTGGGTTGACAGAAAAGGAACTTTCAATTTTAGCCAGATATTCTTGGTGTTTCCGTCTAATGAGACGCTTAGTTTGTTGAGTAAGGGATCGCAGTTTTCGCTTCCGAGTTGCAGATCTATTCATTCGGTAGTTTTTTAATGCACGGTATTTCTTGCGGATAAGAATCCGGACTTCTTTATCAATCCAAGGGGGGGAGTTGGTGTCCTTAACAGTTCTTACTGGAATATACTTTTTCACGGCAGTTAAGAACGCGTTTCCTTCCATTGTTCCCAGTAGTTATCAATATCATCGGTGGGAGTAATATTAATGGGATTTCTCGTGAGGAAATTGCGCAACTCATCAAATTTACCGTTCCTGTAGTCAAAAACTCGGCGTTTAACTGGCTTGGCTCTTTTAAACTTCAGTTGAACATCAATTTCCACGACGTAATGATCTGTTGGGAAACATTCAGGAAGGAATGCAGAAACGTCACCGATGATTTCTGGAGAATTACATAGCAAGAGGTCGAGTTTATTACCAGCGATGTGGGTGGGACCAGATATGAACTGTTGAAGGAAGTTGTCGTCCACCATTTCGCAAAATGCTTCATTCTCATTGGACCCTCCGGTATTCACAGGAACATTTTCATAACTTGTCATGTTATATTCTCTTTGTGCGTTGTTAACACAATGTCTATAAGCGAACTTGTACTTTCTGTGACTCTTGTGGGTTCGGTAATCATTTGTTTCAGGCCATTGATTTTTATTATGTCCTTCAAGTTTCTATTGTCGGAACGCTTGGAATAATCACAGTTCATGTCACCGGAGAGAATAATTTCTTTATTATCCATTGTTGCAGTTGTTAGCATATCATTAAATTCATTATCAAAATTCTTATTCAGATAGTTTGACGAATTCGGGGGGCGATATGCAATGCAAATGACTATTGACTGAGAATTTTTAATAAAAATTTCAATCCAAACTGCCTCGATAAATTGGCTTTCGAGATCTGTTCTCCGTTGAAAATTTAAGTCATCACGAATATATACGTATACTCCTCCTCCCTCACCGTTTTTTCTGTCATATCTCACGTCGGTGTAGCCATCAATTCAAATTTCTGTGTCCGAGATTGATAAGTCTAGCTTGCTTTCAGTAATGCCAAAAATATGAATATTTTTGTTTTGGCTGCCTAACAGCAGCCGGATCGCATTTATTTTTGAAAGCAGACCATTCACATTTTGATGTAGTATCTTCAACCCTCTATTGGTAATTAACGATCAAAGTTCTTTATAGCAATCGTTGTTGGTTTCTCCAGTTTCCTCCGGCTGTATGTGACACACACGGCAGTATAAATCTTCGTCGAAATTTTCTATCATACATTTTGCATGGAAGTATTGGCAACAGGTTTTGCATTTTGCTTTGAGTTGGTTCCTTCTGATATCCTTTGTACAGGTAATACAAGTAAAGCGAGGACCTGGATTTATCTCGATGTCTCCAGCAAGTATGACTAGAAGTTTCACTAGTCCTTTCGATTTCATATGTAAACCAGAGCTATGTTTGTACACCCATATTGATCCGTAGACGAATGACTCCTTTTCAAGGATAATTTTATCCTCTGGAAATGCTGAATAGCATACCGATTCATTTATATATGATTTCTTTTTAATGCCAAGAGTACAATACACGAAAATCGACAACTTCAGGAGCAGTAACATGAGCGTGACCGCTCGCAACGCCATATCTGGAGTGAGAACTCGACATGCCTCTCCTTTAACTCCATATAGCACTAACTATGACTGGGAGTGATGTGGTGGGGATGGAGAGAGGGAGGCGGCAGCTCCGCAATTTTTTTTCCGTAGACAGTCGGACTCCCCATTGATAGTCGGACGCATCATTGACCCGCGCCCTTAAACAAAACATTCAGCGGATACTTCTTATTAGATGCGCCTTCCCGGTGTGTCTTGCACACGCAATCAATAATTTCAAAATGTTGTATTACTTGGTTGAGATGTCAAAATCTGAGCAGGACACATTGTGGTTTCATACATCTTGTGTGGTGATGATGATGGTCGCAATAACAGTTGTTGAGTATTTTCACAACCAGAAAAACAAGTTTGTAGATTTACATGCCATCGCGAAGCAAATCGTTCATCTTTCTACACGTGGTCGAAGTAGAACAACGTGGAGTGATGGATAAATGGTGCACCAGTGGGTTACGCAGGGTACGAGGGGATCCATCGATAACGCGCGGAGGCCTGGATGCGGATCAATGATGCGTCCGACTATCAATGAGGAGTCCGACTGTCTACGGAAAAAAAAATTGCGGCGGCTCCACATAACAAAAATGTTTCCGGATGTGTGATGCTGTATGGACTAATCGCCTGCGCGCCATTTCTGGAATCCTAGCAGAGAAATGTAAACATTTTTAACTTTCAAGTGCAGTTCTCAATTTGCCTTGGCTACGCTAGACTGTCATTTAGCTTTTCGTTCAAACATGTTCTTTTTGAATATGCATGTTTAATTCTAAGAACCGGCGACATCCAGACAGTATGAAACCATAGACTAAAACTCAATCTGCATTAAGGCATAAAATTCAAATATCATATTTTAATTTAGGCAAAATCGTAAACTCAAAACTGAGTCTTTGACGTGAGCTTTTGCATGTTTATAGCTTGTAGTGAACAAATAATTTGTCATTACACGTTGCATCCAATCATTTGCATCCAATTGTCATGCAAGCTTAGTTTTCTTATTAAATTTATTATCATAGCATTCAAACACTTATTAATAATTCATAAGCTTATTGGCAAATCATACCAACTATAATATGTCACGTGCAGTGGCATTATAACCTGATAAAACACTCCTAATTAGTATTTTTTATATAAAGAATACTAATAAGGCAGTATCTATATTATACTCGTGTGTTCGTTAGTATTCTTTATATAAAGTATATACTAATAAGGCAGTATATCTATTGAATTTGTTGTCGTGTTTGAAGCCGTTTAATAAACTCGCAGGTCGTGTTTTATTAGGTCTTTAAACCTAATAAAACACACCTGCTCGTTTATTAAACACTATATAACCACGTTTGTTGCTCGACGACTGCATTTCTAGCATTTTCTAGAGCGAACTAGTTTTACATAATTTAACAATCTTATTTCCCAAATTGAAATGAAAATGTCAGAATTCTATATTGAATTGAATCCGATGTGGCATCCTTAAGCATACCCTTCCCATGCTCACTTCCATTGGATAAACTACCGGAGGATGGGGGTGGGGGGGGGGTGACTCCTCAGTCTCTATCTCGTCGGGTATATCCATACAATTTCGTCCGGCCAATTTGGAAAATATTTGAGTGTCTTGGATAGAAAAGTAATAGTTGTAGTAAGAATTTTGATAAATTTACGAAAATATTACTGAAACATTTTACAAATTACGGTAAATTATTTCGAAAGTTAATGTACCACACCGCCCACCCCCCCTAACAATTTTGGGAAAAGAAATATTAATTAGTGTCTGAAATCTTCGTCCGTCGGGAACGACTTCGGTCGCGCCCTTTTGGTCGGGCAAAACAAGCTCACCCCCTCCCCCCTCCCAGCCATAATAAGTTTCGCCCCTGCTCACTTCCTGCTTGTATCAACAGTAATCATGGAATATATAGCAGTTTGTTCAACCCGCCGCCTCCTCAGCCGAATTTCATTGGGAAGATTTTGCAAAAGTATGAGGCAAGACTCATTTAGCAACATACACACTGCATGTCTCTTTCGCAACGATTATTGAACATGCATGGCCTATATCTTCATTTCTTAAAATAGCCATTTTAAAATTTAATTTCCATAATTGTACAATGATAATGAATTCTATAAAATAAAAACAAATAATTCTCTAAAATCACAGGAATGCCTATAGCCCGTCTTATTAATTGACTCTCTTCGTAAGCGTTAACAGGGGCAGCCGCTTTTACTGGCCGCCCGATCTAAAAACATAAATTTACTATAAAGCTCCAAAAATGTCTGTTAATAATTAAATTAAAGAGCTACATGAATACATTTCAAGAACAATTAAACTCATGCATATAACATTATAAGTTATTGACGTATATGTTTATATGGCAAAAACTATAATTTATATATTTTCTGGATCCGAACATCATGTTTATTTGGCCAAACTTATCAGTATTCATAATACATATGCTGTGATGAGAATATTTCGCTTACAGAAGATAGCTTTGGATGAACGTGGGGTATAGCAATTGACGCAAAAACAGATTAATTATCTGAAATGCTTTATTTTTCTATATCCCACTGTGACCTTTAGAATTTATAAGGTTGCGCTTCAAAGGTTGTGGACAATTAGTGAGGGGACAAATCACGCAATCTTACTTAATCTTATAAGTTTGGGCAAAGATATTGGCATTTATACACGGATAATTTTTGTCACATAAATTCACATTTTTTGATCGAATGGCACGATTTATCGGATATAACTTTATACTGGAAAGTTGAGTTATGATAATCTTGGTTAGTGCTGATAATTACATGTGTGTGAGCTTGAACCTACTAGTAAGTAGAAGTATTTACTGTCTTATAATTAGTGTAACGTATTAGTAGAAAGGGTAAAAATATGATAAGGTAAATCGATACCAGTTTACACAGTCATCTTTGCTATATCTTGCCACTTCTGGAAATGTTTCAAGGAGCTATAATAAGGTTTTAACAGAAATAATAAATTATGTAATATATAATTAGTATATACGAAACCACATGCAATTGATGAAAGGCAACTGATGGAATCTTTATAATATACATGTCTATCTGCTCTTGGAAGTTTAGTTAAAATTAAAGAAGTGTTAAACTGATTTGTATGGCAAGACGATGATTTTATGATAGTCCGTATGACAATCGTACAAATCGCTTTGGCTATATTTCTATGATCACATAATTCTCCAAAACTGTCATATATGTGTTGTGACAGTTGAACATACACCTATATAGCCATGTGTCAAGGAGCAAATCATTTCAGCTAGCTCTCGATTTCATAGTTGATACTAAACAGAAACATATATTGCAGTGTTTTGCTCGAAAATGACGCAACAGTACTTAAATAGACAATCTTATAAAACGATATCCCACATAGTTTCGTATATATAGTCTCAACAAAAATATATTTGATAAAAGGCAAAATCAGTGCGATTATCAAAAACAACTACCCTTAAAACAAGACGTTTTGCCTTCCTTCGTGGAAATGTCTGGACTGTACAGTATGTGCAACCCATGTTCACGTTAAGCTAAAGCAAACAGTTATATCCTCATCGCAAACACTGATTTCCGGGCTTTACCAGCAGCTATCCGATCCCGACATCATCTCAGTGAGGCAATAAATTCTATGGGATCGGAAGCTATATACAGAGAGCAGCATGCAGGCCAAGCATTAAGATATTGAAAATAGCTGCACCAGCTATCTTTGAATCCATCAGTCAAACTGAATCAATCTTTATATTAACCATTACTCTACTTTTATCTACAATTTGAAATTAAGCATAAGTGAAGCCAATTTATAAAGGACAAAACAGCAACGATGATGTAAGCCATGCCCATTCCAATCCTACCAATATTATTAAAAATGTTTGAGAAACCTATTCATGATGCTTTATACAATCATGCATTAAAAATTAATTTAAAAGTTATACAATCAGATGTTCGTAAAGCGCGCTCTATACCGAAACAATTCTATAATATTCCATCAGTTGCTTCCAGATCGCGACAAAAATCGTATTATTGGACTTATCAGTTTTTGTAGATTATTATAAGAAGGCACTTCATCTGTTTGATCACAAACCCTTCCTGCTAAGTAATGCAAAGTAGTTTAAAAAAAAGCATTTTGTTGCAAATTTTAAACCCTGAGGTTATGTTAGTTAATAGATAATTATACCCACTGCTGTTTCAGCTTCCTATATACGTAGAAACAATGTCTTCTATATATCTAGATAATCGTAACAATATGCTTATATAAGAATCGATAGGTATAAGAGATTTGTTCTCAGCTAGGGGCGAAACTAGCCCCTTTTATTTAGGGGGTCTGCTTTTCCCAAAAATGTTGGCGAGCGGGGGTGTTGAAAAAAATTTTTCCGGACATTCAAAAAAAAGGGTCGAAAAAATTTTTCCGGACACAAACCAATTAAATTAAGGGTTAAAATTTTTTTTTCGGACAAATTCCCGTTAAAACATGCCTGAAACCCTCATTTTTTTACCAATATCTGTAAAATTTTGATCCTTAAATTCTATTCAATTCCCTCTGGAAGTCTTGGAAGCTATACTTAATAACTCTGCATTCTATCATTTAAAATCTTTGATTGCCCTGCCAATCCAGATGATTTATATTTGGGGGGGGGGGGAGGGAGTTACCCCTTCATATCCCCCTCAAGTTTCGCCCCTGTTTGTTCTAGAAAACCGTTCATGCAGGCTTTTTGCTTTGACGTCTAAAACAGGAATTAGAGCCTTTGAGGACTCTCCTATAAAATACTTTTCCAGTGTGTAGTTATTTTGAGAGGATTGATGTTCGTTTAGAATTCCTAATACAAATTTAATGGATTACAAGGTAGATATATCTAGATATGAAATTGATTTTTTCGATTATATGACATGAAATCGTTGTGAAGACTGGCAAATACGCAGATTAATTAATTAACTGACAATGAAATGACGTTGTTTGCATAAATTGATTGTCAGATTTACAG